TTGATTTCACAAATATCTAATTTGAATCAGTGCTGCATTCAACATACCACGTGACACAAAAATTGATGTTTATCTGTGTTTTTTTAATATTTACTTTTAAATTAATAAATTGAGTAATGTATAGCTCTAAAATTTGAATTATAATCTACAGTTTGATACCAAACTTATTGATATAAATTCATGAAATAGTAGTTCAATAAAATGTTTAATGTGAGTCAACAAACAAGAACGCCTGGCCTTTCACCCTTGACCCATCTCAAAAGGGTTATGGGCAGTGCTCTATTGCTAGGAGTAAAGATACTAGAATTTTAAATTCTACTTATACACATATTAATTACAAGTCAAAAGACATAAATATCTTTTGATACAAATCACTAGGTAGATCTCACTTAGAATATTGTATACAGTTTTTTCCTCATTATCTAAGAAAACATTTTGCCTTATTGGAAAGGTTTTAAAGGAGGATTACTATGATGATTCTGGGGCTCTTATTGAAGTTTACAAGATCACTGATAGTGTAAAGCTTTGTGATTTCTAAGCTGCTGTAGAATCATTTAATTCTAAAACTATGTCTATCAATAAAATATTACAATTTCTGACAAAACCACAATTGCTCATTTAACTATCAATCTGCACAATATTATACAATAATTTTGGAAAATGAATGTCTGTCCTTCAGCTTAGCCAATTTTTCCTCATGGTCAGCTCTACACAGCTCTATCCAGGATAGTCATTTGATCAGTTAAAAACTACATGTACAAATATTTAAACAGTTTTTTTTTTACAATGAAATTTTTCTAAACAACTTTTCCAATACGAATTCAATACTCTTTAGGTTTATAAATACCACAATTCTAAAAATTGTCATGTACTTTTGTACAATCTTGACACATTCTAGTAGAAGAAGGTCACTTGGAAAAACATGTCTGTCCATCCATTGCATATGAATATAAAGAAGATAAAAAAGAAATATGCAAAAAATGAATATATGTATATATGTGTAACATCTACAACAAGGAAGTTAATTTCTGTGTATATGTGTTGTTAAACTAAAGTTTAACAACAAATAAAAACATTTTTTTACACTACTGCAAAACTTTAAATCATATTTTTCATGTAATGCTGTAGGGCAATTCCACGATAACTGAATTACAATTCACAACAATTTTTGGAATTTGATAACAAATGCTGAAGCTCATTTTGTGACTTGAAGAACAACTTTGAGTAGGCTGTGGAAGTACAAACCCTTCCCTATAATAAACAGTTGTATTTATAAAAAATTCTAACAAAGGGATGAAATTATGATTGATTTTATTTTGGGAATGGAATTACATATAAAATTTCAAAATTGGTTTCTAACAAATGTCATGACTTTCTATCTGAATCTTGTAGCCAACTAAAGCTGATAGCTGGCATTACATGGTAGACACGGATGATGGCTAATTCATAGAAGGAAGTTTCATCCTGATATATACAATGTTTGTTTAAACTTAGCAAGTATAGTTTGGTAAGTGAATTACATGGCATGGTAACAGAATTAATTGTCTGAACATATATATATGTGAAGAATACATTAAACACCACCTAAGAATACTTGTTCTTACATCTATGCACTCAGAGAACTGTATTTTTCTATTCCGATGCTACTTCAAGCCTAATGCTAGTATGTGGCATATAAAAGACAACAGATTTCTGTACATATACTTAGGTCAACTCAACTCCATCTGAAAAACCAATTCTCGAATGTCTATCCATCTGTGGTTCAGTGAGCCTTGATTATACAGGACCTGTCAAGAGAATCTACATTATCAATGTTAGGCCATACAAACTTGCCAAATTCCACCTTTTTCAAGAACTTGATGGTGACTTTGTTGTCCTGCATTTCAAGAACATGGCCAACAAATTTCTTGGCATTCCTCTGAACAGAGTATCTGACAACCACCAAGGCTTCTGGTTTGTTGTCAAGATTGGCTATAACATCCCTTTTCACTGTGTGGTCTTCATCATCATCATCAATATGATCACCATCTTCACCACCATCAGCATCTGCACCTTTGAAGTGGTGCCTTGTGAGAGGAGAATTTACATGGTGCTGCACATTATTGACAAATGGTGCAACCATAGTGAATATACCCATTTTGGGTTAGGAATGGGAGTTATCTCATTCCAATCATCATCCAGCTTTTTCATTTCTGACTCAATCTCAACTTTGCTTATGTATTTTTCCTGAATATTTTGATATTTCTTGGCAGCAGCTTCAGCAAATTCATTGAATGTTGTTAATTCTGTTTTGCCAGACATCACTTCTGAAGAGACCAATCTTTTTGTGGTTCTTCCAATGCCATCTATTAGGCCTTTGCCATGAGAAGTGGCAAAGAAATTCCCTCTTTATTTCTGTTTAACAGTGTGATGCTAGAGAGAAGGAAGTGCTGTTTAAATTGATTTGATGGACCATCAGAAAAAACAACTACTTTCTGAAACTGATAGACAGTTGAATCTAAATGCTGTAGGATGGCCCTGAGGAAGATGTTAACTACCTATTTTCCAACTGCACATCTTTCGTGTTTCAGGTAATCAGAAACTATCACCATTGAATGTGTTCCCCCTGCTCCCAGGCACATAAAGTGAACAGAGTGACCTGATTGTAAGCCCAATATGCAGAATGAATTTCATTCTGAGTTTTTGTGGTGAAATTTTCAGCAAAGTCAACCTGTATAACAACTTAGCAATAAAACACTTCTATATAGTTCTGTTAAATATTTAGTTGATGTGTTGGTATGTCTACTCACCTTATGACTGGACACTGTGCGATTTAAACGTGAGCAGATATAATTTGTCCTTTGTCTTATGGAACATGGCAAAGAACCTTCTGGAACTGGGAAACTTTTGCTGCCCTCTATTACCCACACTGAAGTTAAACTAAAACAATGCCTTAATTATCAGCCCTGACCTCTGGTGCCAAAATTGTGAATTAGGTTATATTACAGTAAGCTTACACAGCAAGAGTAAACTCCATGTAATTCTGCTACCGTAATTCCAATACCAAAATGTAATTCTGTTACCAGGATTTCTACAAGATCAGAGAAGACCTGCTAAAAGTGAGTGATCTAACAGGTTACTGAATAGACCAAATAGGAGAATTTTAAATAGGTATTAATTTCAACCAATAGTTAGCCAGCAGGAAAACGTTTATGATTCTTTTTGATAACAGCATTACAGACAAAACAGAAAAATATGTCATCACCCAAGGCAAAGTATGAAATTTACAGTAGAATTGCTTTCTGCATATCAGTTTTAGGATTCATAAACTCAAGTCATAAGCACAAAAAGGAGTAACTAGAATTGGAGGTAAGGGGAAGATGGAAGGGTTTCAATGGAAGCCTTTTTTCCTTCTTTGTAATGCTAAAAATGCACTCCAATAGAAGTGCTATTTTTGAAGAAAATGAACAAACAGCAATAAAAATTTGGTTTGGAACCAAATTTTACACGTTTTACATCAACAGTGAAACTTTCATGTAGTTTAAATTCGAATTCATGTAGTTTTATAAAGATTTAACACTTAGTGATTAAAGCCCTCTGTCACGGAATTGCCCTGTAGCATCCAAATATTATTTTTTAAGCCAATTTTCAGAGTACTATTTATGTCGTTCTATGTTTATAAAAACGTCACATTTATATATTTTATAGAAAATATGCTTGCAATAAGCTGTTTGAACACGTTATAGGTTTATGTAATTTTCTAAAATTTTGTTTGCAAATTCAATGTTTCATTGAGTTTCGTAAATTCTATTACTAAGTGTAAAAACGTGTTATGAAGTCGTTCTTCTATTAATAGGTACATAAAAAGGGGTGACTGGATAAAACCTTTGAAGGTTAGGGTGATGACGCACAGCATCAATATTGCTGGAGATAATTTTTAGTTTTAAAATAACTTTTACTTTTAGAAAAAGTATATCTTACTTGAACAAATATTTGATTTTGTGTAGTTAGATAACATTAATAATGTGAACTGAGTAAAATACTACAACTCTATATATTTTGTAGAATTTCGACACATTATACTAGTAGTTTAGAGACATACACGTTAAACGCTTCAAGGTCACACGAATGACACAAATGATTATTTCTTTTGCTGCATCAGTGCATGTAAATTGTAAAGATCTTACCTAAACTTCTTAAATCGGTCTGGGTCCTCATTGAATAGTTGCAACATATTGATTTTAGATCCGTTTCTGTCATAATAATCTTGCAATTTTTTAAATGCTGGATCATCTCGCAACAAACAATCTTGCTGAAACGAAGCCATTCTAGCATACAAATTACTATTCTTCCAAATACTAACAATAAACTCTGATAGCAGTTCACTGTTTCTTACATTACAACACCGGCGACCGGTTCTCACTATCACTAGAGGGCGAATTAGTTATGAAATTGTGTCATGCATTGTGACGAAGTACGCCGGTGAAATTAAAAGAAAAAAATGTGCGGCCCGTTTTTATCATGTCATTTATCTTACAAAAATTCGAAGACATTCTTTATCTTATTTTGTTGTATTTATAGCAAATAAAAATAGAACAATCGGTCAAACGGAACAGTTGTTACACATTTATCGCAACGTATGCTATATACTTTGTACTTCGTATTCTGATATCTAATCTACGCATGTAGTATAGCTGTGTCGATCGACTACAGCACAATAACCTAATAACCGATTATTTTTTAACCGTGGCATAGCGGCTTATAGAACGGTTCTGAGTTTTTGTTTGTTTTTTAAGGTGCAAACTTTTAGCTCATAGCTCTGTCTTCTCTTAACCGATTTGAGATCTAATTACAGTTTTGGACTCAGTAGGTCAAACCGTTTCGATTGATGTATTTGACCACGCTCAAGATAGCATAGATTAATTTACTCTAATCCTGCCTAAAAAATGTGAGGGTAATCTGGTAGAGATCCTGATGAGTAATAAAATAGAATCGGGTATACGTGCCCCCCATGCTTGATATTACTGGCGCACAAAAATATAACTAACAGAAAGGGAAAAAAAGGTTTCATAGTTTAATCTAATTTACTCTAATCCTGCCTAAAAGAATTTCATGAGCCGCGGCTATTGAGGATT